TTCTTTTTTTAATGAGAATGCGGCCTTGAAAGACTTAAAGAAATCCAAGGGAAGGTGGACCTGGGGAAGTCATAAGCAGAAAGCTAAAAATATTTGTATTTGAGAGGAATTTGGATTATACTGATAATGTTAAAAGTTACCAGAACTTTCAGAACTGATTTACTCTGTGTTTGGGATTTGAGCATTTGTCGTCATTCTGAATCATAAAATGAAAGGCGTTGAACATCTAGATGAAGAACTAGATAAAAATACCTCTAACATATTGTAGATAATAAAACAAAACAAATTTGAAAGCATATTGAAATTTTAGTGAAGGTAGAATCCTGAAAAGTTCCTAGTGAATAGGGGATGGTGAATGAGATATATTCTTATAACTGCTATTATTGATTGAAGATATAGAAAATCAATGCTAATTTTTTTTAGAATGTTATCCAGTTTGCTTTGTTTTGTTAAATATAAGGGCTTTCATATGGTCAATAATGATCTTAATCTTCATTACTCTTTTTTTCTTCACTTTCATATGCTCTTATTATAGAAGTTTTTCAGGAACATGATGTTTGTTGTGGGGGAAATGTTTATACTGCTTTAATATATGGTGATAGATTTGTAATACAAAATACCATTTACAGAAATTTCTATCAGGTAAACCTAGAGAAACAAACATGAATTTTGTTTTTGTATTTAAATCACAAACATCTTCGTTTTTATATTTAAGGAAACCTTTCATATCATATTAGATAACTTTTAGACCTACTTAAATGTAATTTAGGATAGTAACACTTGGTTTATAATACCAGTTACTCCAAATTGCTAAATTCCTGATATTTATATAACTTAAAATATTTTGCTGTAAAATGTAAAATCTGTATTGATATGCAGTAAAATAATAGACTACAAGGAACAAATGAGAAAGATAATAATTACTGTATACCTGCTATTAGCAAGGCTTATTATATACATTCTCTTTTAATTCAATCTTCACAATAATCCTATTTAGTAAATATCATGGTAATATCTCATAATTATTGAGTGCTTAATATGTACCAGGGATTGAGTTAATCAATTTGCTTGTACTACACACTTCCCCAAATTCCAATAGTAGATATTCAAATTATTCCTATTTTAAGGATGAGGAAACTGTGACTCTGAAGTCAAGTAATGTGTTTGAGGTCTCCCAGTTTACAAAACCAAGCCAAAACTATAATCCCAATCTCACAGCTTCAAATCTCATGCTTTTCCCACTATTCTATAGAGATACAGAATCAAGCTATTTTGGGTTATCATAATTTGATTTTACATCTAGCAGGAGGGGAATTCTAGAGCTTTGGAAGGAACTTAAAAGATTTCACAAGTTAGGAAATTCGGGGCCACAAGAGGTTATAATTTACCTAAATTTATCCAGTTTATTGATAAATGGTAACAATATCCAAACATTGTTATATCCACTGTTGCAACGCTTTCTTTAGTTTTTCAGCAGATTTATCTTCATAAATATTTTTTCTGTCTAATATTTGAATAAATTTGTATTTCTTGAAGATACAGACTCACAGTAAAGAGGCTGTAAAGCAGGTAAAGTGGGTGCAGGAGGAAAGTACATTTTAATTAGATTTTATACAAAGTTATAGTTGGACAGCTAGGAGTTGATGTATTGCTGTTGCTTCTGTTCTACTTTTATAAAAACAAATGAAAATCAACATACCTGTCTTCAAAAAATTATTAGGTTCCCACTCCCTAGCAAATAAGTGCACATGATTTCTGATACAGTTCTTTTTTTCTAATATTATATCCTTCTTTGAAACTTGTATATTTATGCTTAGATTTAGAATGTCATGTAATGAGTTGATGCAATGTAGGCAGGACAGGAATTCTGACTAAAAGAAAATTGGGTTTTCTGAATCTAACCCTAGGTGTTCAGTTTGTCGTTTCTTGCCCCTTTTTAACTATCTCTCCTATTATAAAATGTAGGGTAAAGAAATAGGTTCAACTTTTTTGAAATCTTCAGTTGCTTTGCAAAAGGGATCTCATATAAAAGATTTTTGTAACTGAAGGAACATATTTACTGCTCATTCATTTTAAAGAATGCTTTGGTTTT